TACACATCGTAGAATAGAGAATACGATATGCCCGTGCATCTCTAGCCGCCCCCTTTTCATAGCGTCGATGCAGCTCCTCTAAGCGCAGCCGGGGTGTTCTCTCGTAGTAAATACAAACAAACAACAATTGGCCTCCGTTTCTGCCCACGAGACTGACGGGCGAACAGAAGGTATATCGTATGTACTACAGGAAAGATCTCAACCGGTAGTTCCAATATGATCCTTTGGGTTCACACTGTCAGAAATTTGTGTCGAGAAGTCAGTCTTTTATTGCCGCAGAGATTCAGCATCGGAAATCTTATCGTCCCAATTTTTTTCAAGTAAAATGCAGATAGTTTTATAACAAAACAGATAAAAATGTTACTATTGGATAAAAAGTATTTCAGAGAACCTTGATTACATCAATAATTCTCAATTAAGGAACCATGGATTTTCAAGTTAATTATAAAATAGAAATTTCTCCTCTGTAAAATTTATCTATTCTACGAAAGAAAAAAAAATGCAGATTTTTTTCTTCTCGTATGGCATTTTTTACTAATTTACAGAAAAAATAATTTAGTAAGATCGTAATATGGATTCTAAAAGAAGAGTAAACTATTCCTCTCAGTACAATCCTAATGATTTATAAACGATTAGCGAAATACAGAATATTCAAACATTTCTTTAAGAAAAGAGGATGTAAATATGAATTTAGACTAAAATAAATCATACAAAAAAATCATAGAAACCAAAAATTTGCCACAGAGATAATAAAAAAAAAATATCAATACTCTCAAAATTTCTAATACGTTCCGTATTTTTGTTCCTCATTATCTAAATTCGCAATTCCTCGAATTTGAATTAAAATATAAATTAAATTTCAATTAAGCTTGAATTGTTTAAATTCGTGTAAGTTTAAAAGTTAAGTTTAAAAGTCTTCTGTTAGTCTTTTAATTTGTTATTAAAATTTTCTTTTTAAACAGCATGTTTAATATCAATTGTTTTATAGCGTTTTCAACTAGTAAATTTAATCAATCTGAAATCGATTGAAGTGGCTCTACTACGAATTCAGATTTCATTAAAAGTATATAAAGAACAAAAGTGAAAAAAAATTAAATTAATAAAGTTACTGTAACTTTTTTTCAATATATGTTTCTAAAGTTTCTATTAAACATCTAATCATTTGAATATGATTATAATCAGTTTGATCATAACTTTAGTAACCTAAAATAGATCGTATTACGTCATTAATCTCTTTCGGAGCGATCAAAATTTACTGCAATCGAAAACGCTATTAGTGTTCAAGTGCTTACATATATTCCTTTAAACAGAAAGTTAAGGATTGAAATTTGTCATTATATATTTATATAAGACACTTGTGACATAATCAACATATTTTTTCAACAGACTTACACACATCATCTTGAAATAAAAGATTTTTTGTGCTATTCTTATTTCTCTTTAAATTATGATAAAAATAAAACAGAATAAAGCTTAATATTTTATGTGTTTGATAAATTTGTTTTTATCCTACGAGTAAAAATAAAATAAAAAATTGCATATATAATATAATAATTGCATATATAATATATTATAAAATAAATAAATCTGTTTTAAGTACATTGTAATAGCAAACAATATTATTTTTTTAATACAACTTAATAAAGAACTTAATTATAAGAAACAAAAATATATTTGAGACATCAATGTATAGAGAAAAAATTTTTTATCAATATATTTTCATTTATCTATTATTATTATGTATTTTTTAATTAAACATACGACGAAGGAAAATATAATATCAGGATAAGATGAGAAATAAACT